GTCTCGTCACCAAAATGCAGGGCAAAATCATGATATAAAGACAGGAAACAGATGTTTTGAAAATGTGGCACAGTTCAGATATTTGGGAACAACGATAACAGATCGAAACCTGATTCAAGAGGAAATTAAGAGGCGATTGAACTCGGATAATGCTTGCTACCATTCAGTCCAGAACCTTTTGTCTTCTCGTCTGTTGTCGAAAAACACAAAAATTAGAATATACAGAAGTATAATTTTGCCCGCGGTTCTGTATGGGTGTGAAACTTGGTCTCTGACATTAAGGGAGGAACATAGACTGAGGGTGTTTGAGAACAGGGTGTTGAGGAGAATATTCGGACCGAAGAGAGATGAAGTGACAGGAGGTTGGAGAAAACTGCATAATGAGGAGCTTCATAACTTGTACTCTTTTCCAAGTATAATTAGAATGATCAAGTCAAAGAGGATGATATGGGTAGGTCATGTAGCACGAATGGGGGAGACGAGGAATGCGTATAGGATATTGGTGGGAAAGCCAGAAGGAAAGAGACCACTCGGAAGACCAAGGCGTAGCTGGTTGGACAATATTAGAATAGATCTTAGAGAGATAGGATGGGACGGTATGGATTGGATAGATCGGCTCAGGATAGGGACCAGTCGAGGGCTATTGTGAACACGGTAATGAACCTTCGGGTTCCATAAAATGCTGGGAAATTCTTGAGTAGTTGCAGAATTGGCGGCTCCTCCAGAAGGGCTGAGCTCCATGAGTAAGTAAGTGGGGTGAGACTAAGTCCCTTGTACTGCGGCCACTTCTGGCCTATTGTACCGGCCCCAGATGATAGGTGAGGGTGATTTTGGAGCAATTGGTGGAATGAAGCTTGGCAGGGGAAACCGAAGTACTCGGAGAAAACCTGCCCCAGCGCCACATTGTCCATCACAAATCCCACTTGACCATACCCGGGATTGAACCCGGGCCGCCGCGGTGGGAAGCCAGCTACTAACCGCTTGAGCTATGGCGCGGACTCTCTGTTAACCTTCGTCGGGCTCTGTCTTTCGTTTCTTATGTGCCCTGTGAACGAGGTACATATAATTAACTTGTACTGGGGAAGCTGTGAAGTCTCTTAAATTATTGAACATATGTCAGGGAAAAGTAGGACACGCAGTAGAGTAGTTGGTTGAGGCACTATGCTACAAGCCGGAAGGTCGCGGGTTTGAGTCCCTATGAGATGGATTTTTTTTTTCAATTTACCTAATCCTTGTAGCCGCACTATGGCCTTGGCGTGGACTGAGCCTCTAACAGAAATGAGTATCAGGAATCTTCCTGGGTATAAAGGTAGGCCGGCGCGTAAGGCTGACAACCTAACTGCCATCTGTGAACCGATTGTCTAAAGAAAATGTGGGAGCCTCAAAGTCTTACAATCCGATGGGCCTTCGCGGCCTGTTACAGGGATAGCTTTTCCTTACCATGTGAGTGAAAACTTCTGTCTTGTTGGATATAAGGCCGTCTACGGTTAGTCCGGTGACCGCCAACCGACGTTTCAGAGGGATGTATCGACTGCAGAGGTGTTTGTCTAAAATTCTTCATAGCCATCACTGTGACAGCCTGAAATTCAGCACATTTATCAGTTGAATTAATATTAAACCTTACTGGCAGCGTTTTTATTTTACTTTGTACCAGTCAGTCAGAGCCTTTACTTTATACTAATCCCAAATTGAACTTTATAAAATTCTCAAAAAACAGTTCATAGTACATAAATTTAATACATGACACAAGACTTAGGCATTATTAATACGTGTAAATTCATTTCAAACATTTTATGTTCTAAATATTTAATGACGTAAACGTAATTTATGATCCTGCGCAGTGTGATAGGCGTTTTAACAGTATATTTGTTTGCAGTAAAGTAACATCAACGCCAATGAAATTCATATCTGTACTCTGTGGAATATATATTCTCCTTCTTGGAATTACCGGGTTCTTGGACTTTGTCCATCACCCGGTATTCTACAAAAATTAGGGAACACTACGTTTCGGAAATGTATCTGTTTCCATCCTCAGGTGAGGGGGAGACACCTACTCTATTGGGTTCCATAGAAAGAGCTAACCTCAGTCACTGGACAACCTATTTCAGGATAACCAGAACGATATAAATACCTGGGCCCAGGCTATGTTATTGGGCTGTAACAGGAAAAATGTACAATAAAAATTGTGATAAAGCATACACAGACCCGAAACTACGACAAATAAGGAGGTCTGTAGTTTTTTTTAGAAAACTGGGATAGCATAGTCAGTATGGGACTAGCTGGACGGCCGAGGAGTCAGAATTTGAGTCCCGATAGGGTCAAGAATTTTCTCTTCTCCACGTCGTCCAGACCGTCTCTGGGGTCCACCCAACCTCCTATCCAATGGATACCGGGGGCTCTTTCCCTGGGTGTACAGCGGTCCGAGCGGGAAGCTGACCACTCACCTCAAACTAGTAGCGAGGTCAACAAAATGTGGATCCATAGATCATCTCCCCCATACATCATCTTGGCGTGATGCTTAATTAAGCACAGGGACAACTTTACTTCTTTTACTTTAGCGGATGAAGGACAAAGTCCAAGAATCAAGTAATTCCATTGCCAGAACCATTTAGAATCTATTCGTAATCATGGTTCTTATTGAAGATATTTGGTTCACGTTACAGTAGTCCCCAGTAGGCCGAGTCTGACGTTGAATCTAGAGGCGACATCTTCACCAAAACAAAGGCTTGGCCTATCACTAAATCTTGGAGGCTCGGCTTTTGTATCAGCCCGAGGAGACTCTATCGATGTACAGCTGCCTCTAGAACGCCAAGGGTATGTATAACAGCCTTGCCAACTGCTACATGTGCTGTGTATCAAGAATAGATTTATGGGGTGCATTATCCTCAAATTAATTTGTAATCAGCTGAGCTAGGAAACAGATGGAAAGAAAAGAAGTAAAAAAATATTTAAAGTTAAGTAATATTTTACAACTTTTATTTGGAGAAATTGCTTTGCTTTCTTTTTCAGTGAACACCCAGGAAAATATTTGAATCCCAAGAGGCAGTTTAGGATAATATGCAATAAGGAATTCTTTAATTTATACAGAGCACCTAGGATTGCGAGGTTTTCACAATATCATATCATGTAGTTTTAGTGGGGAAGAAATGGAATGCCTCTAGAATTTTTGAAGGGAAACTCTGAGAAAGTGGCCACTTGGGAAGATGGCATTCAGATACCTGTCAGAAAGCTTATATTAAAATATCATAAACCACCAGATATCGATCAGATTCTAAAAAAAAAAATTGGCCCAAGAAAATAAAGCATTCAGAGATGTGATACAAATATATAAGTATATATCCTCTTTGAGATAATCCATATAATTACACTGTAATTTGCACAAACCTCGCAGAAACTCTGCAAGACTTGAAACTGTATGATCACTCTGTTTACAGGTGGTACCATGGGGCTATCACAAGGATTGAAGCTGAAAATGTGTTGCGGCTACTGAAGGAAGGCAGCTACCTAGTTCGGAACAGTGAATCCACGCGACAGGACTATTCGTTGTCTCTCAAGTGAGTGAAGGAAATGCCCCAGCATTACATATACCATAATGTACAGTTCTTTCCATTTAAACAACTTTCGAAAGACTGTGCAATAGATTTGCATACATTTAATTGTATTTGTTATTGTACAAGAAGCTGTGATCAAGATTCCTGTCCGTAATTTAAATTATCTATTTTTTGTATTGTGGCAATGGTAAAATATAAAATTACAGTTATGAAATTTATACGTTTATCATGTAATTAATCAGACTGTATGGAACAGTGATGATATTTTCTAGCTCCATTTTAAAGAAGAGTAACAAGAATGTGTAAATTAATACCAATAAATTGCTGTTCTAATCACTGTCATACAATAATATTATTTATTATAGAAATATGGCGCGTTTAAGAGTAATAAATGTGAATAAATTTTGTACAATTGATCAGTAATTAACCCCATGAAGACTTCTTTCTATAGCACCCTGCCTGTTTCTGCTGTTGCAGTGTCATCTCATTTTTAGTTCTGCATTCTTTGGTAAACTCAAGCTATATAGGAGAATAATCTGCAATTTTGTGATGACAGAATGCAATACTAACAAAATTTAAACACTAACTTTAAAACCTCTTGAAGACTGATATGTCTATTTGAAGATAACAGCCGATCATGTCTCAGAGATGGTGTTAATAAACAGTGGATTAACTCAGGCAGATACAATTACATCAAAATAAAATAATGTAAAAAAAAACTAATACTGTAATTTCTTAAAGAAATTCTTAATTCTTCATAAAACAAAAGTTTCCTTGAAGAGGATACAATTGTTGTATCTTTGTTTACAGGAGTGCACGTGGGTTTATGCATATGAGGATACAGCAGTGTCCAGAAACTGGAAAATTTATTCTAGGTCAATTCAGCAAACCATTCGACAATATTCCAGAAATGATCCACCACTACACAGTGAACAGACTGCCAATCCGTGGGGCAGAACACATGTGTCTCTTGCATCCTGTCATTGGGCAGTTACTCTAGCTGTTCCTATCTTACTGTACTACTTCGAAGCAGTGAGTACACAGTGGTATACTGACTTGTGATTACAAATATCTGATGCTGCTTTCACAGTTTATAATTTGCTCGTATGGTTCGCTGATCCAAGATGCCATGGTAAGCCTTCTGCCACAATACATCATGCGTCCAGCCTTTTAATGATGCATTTCCACACCATTCATAACATTAATGCTTCCAGATGATGAAACATCAGATAATTGGTTTCAGCCCTGAAGATTACTAGGAGAGTTGAAAAACTTGATTCAGTGAAATGTGAGTTAAATAAAGCTTGGAGTGATTTGTGATACAACCATTACCAACAGGGACTCCGAAATTCTGCTGGTCATTATTTAAACAAAGTCCTGATGTTAAAAATATTAAAATATTTCTCATGTTTAAAATCTGTAATTTTCATGTATCAGTATGGTAATAAGCATACTGTTTATAATGGATAGCTTCTTGTACTCCATATTAAGGATCTTCCATTTAAAACCAGTATTAAATTGTCTTAACCCTTCTTTGCTATGGTCAAGGTATTTCATTTGAAATGCTGCCCACTTGCTATGTATAACTTTTGTGTTAAATAATATTGGAGAAATTACTAAAAGCACGTCAGCATGGAAAGGGTTAAGAGACCGATGCATATATAGGAAGATAATATTAAAATGGATTTTAAGTTTCAGGAATGTGAATTTGGTTAAACTGTCACCAACTAGCTATGAACTTTGGTATGTTGTGGAATGATTAAAGGTAAAAAACTAATAACATACACTACTCAAGGGATATCATGAAATTTGTTACTTATGAAATTGATTGGTACATATAAATACATAATTATAACAGAATCCATATTTGACAGACTTTTCAAATATATGCAACTGTCCGGATTCATCTCAGCAGAATGCAACATAAAGAAACACAACTGAAAAAAATTAGTAAAAAATTACTAACCACATGAATTAATGAGCCAAAGAAGGACTTTGAAGGGGCTACTGGATGAATGAGGCTGGGATGGGTCAAAGAGTGGCCCAATTTGTGCTCCTCGATGGTCTTCTGCCTTTCAAAAATAAAATATTTTAGCACATTTTCATAACTAACAAATTTATTAATTTAGCGGAGCCTAGTCCTCCTTGAGGCGTTCAATATTCTGTCAGAGGGTCAACAAATTTTCTGCTTTAATGAAACTCGAAAGTTCATTAGTATTTCTACAAGAGCCTACCACTGGACCCTATCCCGAGTCAGATGAATCCAGTCAACATCCTGTCCTGAGCCAAATGAATCCAGTCCAAATCCTGTCCTGAGTCAGATGAATCCAGTCAACATCCTGTCCTGAGCCAAATGAATCCAGTCCAAATCCTGTCCTGAGTCAGATGAATCCAGTCCACATCCTGTCCTGGGTCAGGTGAATCCAGTCCTCTCCTGATATCCTGCTTCTTTATGATCCATTTTAATATTGTCTTCCTATCTGTGCACATGTCAATCATGTGATCTCTTTCATATAAGACTATATAATAAGGGTGCAAATTACCACATATATTTATAAGGGGACAGCATCCATATTACATATACACGTATATGTGATTTTAACTTCATGGTGAGAAACGCTGTCTTCAGTCTCACCAGAGTTATAATTTTCTTCCAATTTTATCAAAGATTGCAGTGATTTTGCATTCTGGAAGATATTCTCTCGAAGCCTTGATTTTGTGGGGTGCAATATACCCTTTCTCAGGGCTTATAACCCTGCTCACCTGTCTTTGTGACAAATGAAAACTTCAGGCCAATGAGTGGAGAAGCTTTACATTTAGTCGTTTTAAATGGAGGCGTTTAACTTGGATAAGTACAGATTTCATTTTACTTGGTAATTTGCACCAAGTTTTTAGTGCCAAAGTTAAAATTTACGTTCTCTAAAAACTGTTGCTTTAATTGAACTATTGAACAATCAAATTACAGTCTAGAGTTGCAGAATAGGAACTGTGTATCTTTATGTTTGTTGAAGAATATCTTGTGTAGATGCTAAGATCTTTTGCTGAAAGAAGTGACAGATGTACAAAGTATCCTACAAAGTAGTTTATTTTTAGTAACCTACTTACTGTATAATATGTTCCAAGTTTAAAGTTCTTCCACATTGCAACATGATGGCGATAGTATAGTCCATGTTTGATGTTACCAATACATTCCTAAGAAGTGTAAAATTCAGTAATGTATAAGATGTCTACTATTAAGTTGTCTATTAGACAATAAATCTAATCTTTTCCTGTCCTCTGTTGAAAGGTTTCCGACATCGTAATTTCCATATACAGGTTCAATGTTGGAATTTTTCAATCATTGAGTTCATTAATGTGTAGCCACATTATGGTAACGTGTTAAGTGTTACCTATCTTTTCTTTAAATTTTTGTATATCTCTTCTAGTAGTTCAAGTACAGAACCAAGAGATGGCAGGCTACTTGTATTTTCCCATACTGAAGCTCCCCCCCCACAAATTTTTAGCTGGTGTGGATAAGTTTGGAAATAGAAAGGATAGGAAAGGGTTAAGATATTAAAATGTATGAATCATGCTTTGGAAGTTTCCATGAGTTATGTTTATAAATGAATTTACTTCTGTTCTATGATAATTTTGACATAGATGTTGAGTTTGAGTTTATACCATTTTTCATATTGTATGAAGTTTGCTAGCAGTCATTTTAATCTATGTTAATTAAAGCAGAAATGCCATCAGTTTCTGGTTATAGAAACAGTGTTTTGTTAGAGTGAGCTATCATTAACAATGAATTAGTGGGATATGACACAAAACCTTTTTGAACCAAAGTATGAATCTCGTGGAAATTATTAATATTTATAGGTGAAGGGGTATGGAGTAGCTGTTCATTTTACTAATTTATATAAGTGGTTAAGGAACAGTTTTATAGGGGTGGAGTAATAGTAAAATACCATGGTTCTTGTACTCGATGGGCAGCCCTGTTTGAACCAACTTTTACTTATTTTAGTAAAATACCCCTGTGTATCACGTGTTATCTGCGTTATAGCTTTCCATCCAAAGCATGGTGATGAAGGCTACAGATGGAGATGTGAACAGAAACTAACATTTTTATATGAAGGTGATTAGCAAAGAGTCAGATATTTAAGTATGCACTGCATGTCTTAAGAAAAAAAAAATCCCTGAAATTAAGATTCTGGTCCATCAGTTACTTTTGTTATTCACTATTTTGTACTTAATATTTGTTCATGAATAAAATGTGACATTGTGTTTGAAATTAAAGGTTGTCTTACAATGCACTAGAGATCCTGCCATATCACTGATAATAATACATATGGTAATAACGCAAGGCTTTGTAGTATTAATGGCACTATACCAAGTATTATGTTTCTCTGATATTTCCGTCCGTTAGTCCATCTGTCCGACCATCCGTCCACTAATCAGTCTCAGCTAGATCATGGGCTCAGTTTCTCATAAAAGGAACATACACTTTGGAAAAAATACGCCATTTTATACAGTTTATGGGAATTGTTGTCTCTCATACAATATTAAAACATCTGTTCATTAAAACAGTCACTTCAGTTTCTAGGTTCTAAGAAACAGTTCAGCCTTTCTGACCAAAATGTTGTAAGAATTTCTGATTATTTAATAATATACCAGTATGTATTAGGGGGCACACGGTAGTATAGCTGGTTGAGGCACTATGCTACAAGCTGGAAGGTTGCAGGTTCAAGTCCCAACGAGGTGGATTCTTTTCAATTGACTTAATCCTTCCAGCCGCCCTGGGGTTGAGTACCAGGAATCTTCCTGGGGGGGGGGACATGTAAGACTGACAACCTTACTGCCATCTGTGAGCCAACTGTCTGGAGAAAATGTGGGAGCCTTGATGTGTCTCAACCCTATGGGTCGTCATGGCCTGTTACATATATATAGCTTTACTTTTACTTTACCATACCAGTACTTATTAATTTTCTAACAAAAGTTTGTAATGAAATGTTCTTGGACCTGGGTGATAGTAAGGATGCAGTATTATTCCATTTGACTTAATTACTATTTATGCCATTTAAATTTACAGTATCCTAATTTTCTGATAGTAACTATCTCCAGCAAGTAGAACCTTTCTGATATGTTAGTAGTCGCTCAGTTACTCAAGAAACTCATATATTTCTTGGAACCAGTGAGCGTATTACTGTGTTTGAAAGCCCACTACAAAACCCTATACTGTGCAGCTGAATCCAGTACACATACTCTAATGCCTAGTCTTTCCAGAAGTTTTATTCCATTCAAGTTTTATGATCAAAATTTCATATGCTTCATCTTATGCCCATCTCATCCTCCTTTTTTTGATTATCCCAATAATGTTTGGTGAAGAGAGAAGATTATGAAACTCCTCACTGTGCAGTTTTCTCCAATTTTCTGTCACTATCTTGCTCTTCCTCTTAAGTTCAAACATTTTCCTTAGCATTCTGTTCTCAAACACCCTCTTTTCTCTTCCCTTAATGTGAGAGCCCTAGCTTCATGTTCATATATGACTACCAGTGCAATGATGGTTTTGTATATTTTAATCTCTACATTTTTATATAGCAGATGGGAAGACGAAAGATTCTGTACTGAATGACAGTTATTCATAGATCAGTTAACTTAAAAATCCTACTTACAGTATATACAAGGGTTGGATAAAAAGTAGTGGCAACACTGCTGTAACATGAAAGATGTGCGTCAGGTGGCACTAGCGCCATCTGTGGCTGATAGCAGAAGTTCAGTTGAAGTAGTGCAGTGAGTGGCTCTGGTTGTGTTTAATTGAGTTGCATTGTGCATCGTCTTGAAGTGCAGGAGCCCAGTTCAAGCACGCTAACAACATGTTTACGAAACACGAACAACGCTCTTGGATAAAAATTGAAGTTTCAAGAGGTTATAGTGCACAAAACTGTGTTCAGGGATTGCGAGAAGCATGTGGTGATGCTGCTTTGCCATATCGCACAGTGGCATGATGGGTGAAAGTGTTCCGTGAAGGGAGGGTTGCCATTCAGGACAGCCGTCATTCAGGACGACCCCATGTTGACAACCACACAATTCAGCTTCTTGCTTCTTTGCTGGATGTTGATCGCCGATGGGCTGCACAGGAGTTAGCTGCTGAGGTAAACATATGTCACAAAACCGTGCTCCACATTCTGCATGATATTCTTGGATACCACAAAATTGCAGCGCATTGGGTACCCCATACAATGACTGAGGTGCAACAATGGCAACGTTCTGCAATTGCACAGAACTTGTTGGACTGGTACCAGAGGGAAGGTGATGACTTCCTTGGAAGGATCATCACTCTGGACGAAACTTGGGCTTGCTCATATGAACCACACTTGAAGTGACAATCAAATGAATGGAAGCATCCTGGCTCTCCTTGTCCAAAGAAAGTGCGCCCTACACAGAGTAATGTGAATGCAATATTCATCATGGCATATGACACTGATGGAGTGATACTGCACCACACTGTACCTCAACGACAAACAGCAAACGCTGCCTACTACTGCAATTTCCTGCATAATCATCTTCATTCAGCACTCAGAATAAAGTGACGACACTTGTTGGCAATGACCCCCCACCATCCTTCATGACAATGCAAGGGCTGCTACTGCTGACACTGTCAAGGATCTCCTTCGCCGCTAGCGATGGGAAGTACTGCTACATCCGCCATACTCACCCGATACGAGTCCGTGCGATTATGATCTCTTTGCCAAAATGAAAGAACCACTGCGAGGGACACGTTACAACACAAGAGAGGAGATTATTCATGCTGTAGGGCAGTCACTGCTGGACATCAACAGAAGTGGATGCACTGATGGTGTACGATGCCTTCCACAAATTTGGCAGAAGGGGGTACACATGGGGGGCGATTATATCGAAGGAATGTAAGTGTGTTTACCTCAGGTAATAAAGTCATTTCAGAACTATAGAGGCGTTGCAACTACTTTTTATCCAACCAATGTATTAATACTGAATCTGTTGTGTCATACATTTAACTTTGTTATGTTCTATTATTGCATTAGGTGCAGCAGATGGTTAATACATATTGCATTTGGTAAAGGGTGTAATTTTGTTTGTTTCTAAGACTACTAAAAAGATTGAATGGAATAGTGCCAGTAATATTACATCCTTTGACCTTCTCAGTTTTATTAAGAACTTTGAATTTGTGAGTAGTAAGGTGACATATTTTATACATTACGATTTTTATGATATGGGACTGATATGTTTTGAACTGAAAGACAAGTCTCAACTTACAT